GGGCGGGCGTCGCAGGCTGATGGTGCGTACGAACCGCATCCGTCCCGTCCTCTGTGTCCAACGCCCGTGCGATTGTTTTCCGCCCCCTGCTCCTCTGCCTTTCTAGCACAGCGGCAACAGGAGCACTCACTCTGGTAAATCCTCTTGGGAATGGCAATTAACGTAGGAAGAAAAAACTAATAAAAGAACACCACCGAAGGTGTTCGCAGCAGCTCCGGCTCCTCAGCGGGCAGCTCGGTGGAGTACAACGTCCAGGGAAAATCTTAAACCCGCCTGGCACTTAGGTAATTGCAGCAGCTGGGGTTTGGGAAGAAGGCAGCTTTTTTAGGCACGACACAGTGCCTAGAAATACACTTTGGTAATTTTCTGCCGTGCGGCAGAGTCCAGCCAGGCTGGTTCTAGGTCTGCTGCACAACCTTAAAATTACTTAAATCACAAAATGAGCCCCAAACAGGAGCGGAAATGAACTAACACCCAGTCTCTTTTCTACCACGTATTTAGCTGCCAAAATTGTTCTCAGTTCTGTAAAAATGCGTGCTGCGACTTCCTTGTGCCGCTGCACTTACCAAATGCAGTTAAAAAGACACCTTTTTTTTTTTTTTTTAACTGGAAGAATAGCATGAGTTTTCCTCGCTCTCACCTCTGTTGAGGTATTCATAGGATGTAAACGATGGTTCGTATACCACTCGTGTGTGCAGCTCTATACCCCACACTGCAGACCCTAGTGAGACCCTACATGGTCACGCTGAAGTTGAGGCAGGGAAGAGCTCTGCACGCTGCCCTGCACTCAGCCCTCCCAGACTGGCAGTGCAAGCCAACTGGCTGGAGCAGCTCGGTCCCTTATGCTCCCCACGCTACAATCTGATACTTCTGTAATTCCAGATCCTAAGCATAGTTGTGGGTTTGCCCTTCTAAACAGAAAGTAAGCAGTGAGTGAGGGGTGGAGTGCACGGTTCTGCCTCTGCCTCCCAAGAGGAGGTCTGTACTGCTTCTTGGTGTGAAGAAGCAGGGTTTTTTTCACAGAGCTATGCTCCTCGTTGTGAAAACCCCTAATCTAGTTTCACCTATACTGGACACTGCTTTCAGTCTACTGCCTCAACTTCTGCCCAGGGTAGGAATGAGAGCTGTAGAAATAACTGTCTGATAGTGATGTGGACAGGTTTTGCTAAAAACCCCAAGTCAGAAGCTCGCAGTTACCATGTGCTTCACATCAAACTTCAAAGGTTAAAAATACGACAAACATTTTGTCTGTTGTTTGGCTTTTCTAATTCTCTTTGTTGCTTTCATTATTATTAAAGATTTGAGGTAAATCACGATTTCATGATTTCCATATATCCAAAAGGGTTCTGACTAAAAGATGAGTTTCCGTCATAGTGACATTATGAGCCGTTAAAGGAAAACCAAGTAGCATAAATCTTACAGGGAAATTCTGGGCTGAAGCACTTTCTAAAAGCTAATCAGGTTGCGGGGTAAATCCATGTTAGGAGGGGGTGTCGTCTCCTACTTTTTGTACTGAAATCAGTCCATCTAAGAACTAGTTCTAAACTCAATGAAGAACAAAGAACGGCAAAGGCATTTCTGCAACCAGATCTAAACCAAAATATTCATTCTACATTATATAAACTGTGTTAAACCTGACAGTCCTTAGGGAGAAAGCTCTTCCCATGCGAAATATGCAGGATGTCATGGTCTGTGGACATCTGACATTCATTTCCTATTAATCGACGCACGCTTCTGTTCAGTCTTGTATTGTATGCATGTGATGCTGTGAAATGAAAGGTTAATTATAATTTTAAACTTCTTGAGGTAGGGTCTGATTCCTGTAGATGGTATGGCCTTCTTTGTGAATCACTGCGTATTGCCCTGGCATTACTTCCATAATACAATCCATTTTAAAACCTCAATTTTTAATGAGGGGTTTGAAAAACAGTAGAGAAGGAGTTGCGTGGCTCAGCGAACAACCATAAGAAACTGCAAAATCTTAGTAGCACATTAAAAGCTATTTAAAATTCAGATTCCCGGTGTTTCTCAAGAAGGAGAAAGTGCAGTTGTTTGGAACTTTTAATGTGTACAGTTTTTTCCTGATGTTGCTAACTGTATGTGCATTTTGACAAGGCGTTTATCAGAGCACGAGTGCTCAGTGGTAAGCACAGAAGAGGCCACTATGATTAAGCATTCTTTAGGTGGAAAAAAAAAACCAACACCCTGAAGCATCTCAAGTATTAGAACATATTGCCGGTCCATCTTTATTAGTACACCACCC